GGGCTGGGGGTGCAACGCAGAGGTTGAGCACTTGCCTGGCCTGTGCCGGGACCTGGGTTCAGCAATGACCAGTACCACCAAAAAACAAAAAAAAGAAAAGAACAAAAATGTCAAACAACAAAAGAAGAGATGATGTTCTTACTCATCATCACCCGGCTTCAACATTTTACCTTTTTTTTTTTTTTCTCTTCTGGTACTGGGAATTGAACCCAGAGGCTTTCTATCACAGAGTTACATCATCAGCTTTTTAAAACTTTTTATTCTGAGACAGGGTCATTGCTAAGTTTCCCAGTTTGGCCTTGAACTTGTGATCCTCCTGCCTCAGCCTCCTAAATTGCTGGGATTACAGGCATGTGTCGCTGCACCCAGCAACATTTCACCAGTCTTACTGAATCTATCCTTCCTTACTTTTTTCTTTTCTTTTTCCTGGAACATTTTAAAGCACATCCCAGGTATCATATCTCCTTTGTTGTTGTTATTTTACTTATTTTTAATTTGGTATCATATCTTCTTAACAGTAAATGCTTCTGCACATGACTTTTAACAGATTAGGATATGGTTTTTAACATGGTCCTGACACCATTATCAAATCTAATGAAGTTGATAATCCCTCAGTTATCTTCTAGTCCCCAATCCTTGTTCAAATGTCCCCAGCTGTACAGGCACCCTCTTCAAGGGCCCTTCATGTTGCACAGTGGGAGGGACCCTGGGTGTTGGGCAGCCAGGTGGGGCTCTGGCCAGGTGCAGTGGGGTGCAGGTTCTCAAAAACTTCTGTCTGGTCTGTTGCAGGAACAAATGTGGTATCTGGGGATGGCGGTCTGAGAAGATGGAAACTGTCAGCGGCTACGAGGCCAAGGCAGGAGAGGCCAGTGGTGGGGACTGGGGGTCAGAGATGAAGCCCAGAGGCTCAGCTTCTCCACACCCAACCCCAGTGTGGAAGGAGAGCTGGAGTAGCCCTGGCTCTGGAAGCCCATGAGGCCAAGGGCAGTCGCTGGGGCCCAGGGTCCTGAGGACCTGGCCTGTGCTGAGCCCACCCAGAGCTCTGAGATCAAATGGGGAGAATTTTCTTCTTGGCCCTTGGGCTACCTCTTCTCATTGGTGACTCCTGGGGTTCAGACCCTGCCATCTCCATTGTGGGGAGCAAGATCTCATCTCTTGTCCCCTCTGGTCCTGTGCTGGTAAGGCTGAGTGTAGGGAACAGGGCCTGATCCCCAGCTGCCCATGTCCCCCCTGCCCCCCAGGTGTACAGTGCCACCAATGTGGAGCTGGTGACACGCACACGCACGGAGCACCTATCTGATCAGGACAAGTCGAGGAGCAAAGGTAAACCCAGGTGCGCCTGCCCACTGCCCAGTCATATGCTGGTCTGGGGTCAGGGCCAAGAGTGCCCAGGGACAAGCCAACCCATTCTCAACTGCTCCCTCTCCCACCCAGCAGGAACTCTCAGGTGGAGGGAGGGTGGGGCAGTACAGGTGGCCCAGAGTCCCCTCATGGGCTGCCCCCCTTCTCCTCAGGGGGGAAGACTCCGTTCCAGTCCTTCCTGGGGATGGCCCAGCAGCACTCCTCCCACAGCGGGGTGAGCGGGGCTGGGGGGCGTGGGGCCTGCCTGAGCCCGGGTGGGCAGGGCACATCTCTTCATCCTGAGGCCTAAGGTCCGGTCCTGGGGCCCCCCAGGCTCCTGTGCAGCAGGCAGCCAGCCCTACCAACCCTACAGCCATTTCCCCCGACGAATACTTTGACCCCAGCTTCAGTCTGGAGTCCAGAAACATCGGCCGCCCCATCGAGATGTCCAGCAAAGTACAGAGGTGAGGTCTGGGGACTAGCGGGGGACTTCCTTTAGAGACCAGGATGCCGCTTGGACCGCCTGAGCCCTTGCAGAGTCTTGTAACCCCTGGGGCCCATTATATTCTCACTTGGTGGGCTCTCCCTGGATTCTGCTCCCAAGGGCAGAAGCCATGTCTTTCTTATCCGTGGTCCTGAGCACTTGGCAGGTGCTTTGGCCTAGAGAAGTAGTCACACTTCTTTGATGAATGAATGAATGTGTGGCATGGCCCACGTATGCATTTTATTCCACTTACTGAGCATGCTGGGGCCAGGGCATGGCAGGTGGAAACAGCCCTTGTAGGAAGGACCCACAGCTCTGCAGCCTCAGGCTGTGTCCCTGGGACGTGTCTTCTGCTCCCTCAGTGTCTCCCTCAGTGACATCAGAAGTCACACTTGCCTGCTTCCCACAAGGATCTGATGGTCAGGTGAAAATGGTCACAGTGGACATACCCTTACAGCAGGTCTAGCACTCTTCTGGCCACTTCAGGTGGATCCTCTCAGCCACCCAGTGGTGGAGCTGGGATTTGAACAAAGTACAGCCAACTATATGGTGCTGACCAGTTCTGGGTGGAGGAGGAGGATGGGGCTGTGGATGAGGTCCCGGGAGAAGCCCCTGCTTGCCTTAGACCAGATGAGTGGGCACAAAATCATCACAAGTGCCCGGCTGGAGGCACCTGGGGACACCAGCTCCAGGGGAGGCCATCAGGACAGCTGAGAAGGGAGGAGGCCTAGGCTCATGGAAGGGCCATCAGAGAGTCCCTGACCCAAGTCCTTTGTTTGGCTGGGCAGGTTCAAGGCCACATTGTGGCTGAGTGAGGAGCATCCCCTTTCCCTGGGTGACCAGGTGACGCCCATCATTGACCTGATGGCCATCAGCAATGCTCACTTTGCCAAGCTGCGTGATTTCATCACCCTGCGCCTCCCACCTGGCTTCCCCGTCAAGATTGGTGAGGGGGTGGCCCAGTGCAGCAGGGGGACCTCCCTGGATGTGGGGTCAGACAGCTCAGGCCTGGCTGTCTCCTTACAGAGATTCCCCTCTTCCACGTGCTGAATGCCCGCATCACCTTTAGCAACCTATGTGGCTGTGATGAGCCCCTGGGCTCCGTGTGGGTGCCCGCCCCCAGCACTGCCGTGGCCGCTTCAGGTAGCACCAGCGGGGGCAGAGGGAGGCTGCAGCTTTCTGGCTGTTGAGCCCCAGCATCTGAGTTGGCTCCTCTGCCACCTGCCCAGGGAGCCCTTTCCCATGTGAGGTAGACCCCACCGTGTTTGAGGTGCCCGAGGGATACAGTGTGCTGGGCGCAGAGCGCAGCGAGCCCCTTCGAGACGAAGATGATGACCTGCTGCAGTTTGCCATCCAGCAGAGCCTGCTTGAGGCAGGCACAGAGGCCGAGCAGGTGGGACTTGGGCAGGGGGGGGGGGGCACTGGCTCTGCAGCCACAGGGCTGAGGTGACAACTCTGGGCTCCCGGCCACTGCAGGTGACTGTTTGGGAAGCCCTGACCAACACACGTCCTGGCACCCACCCTCCTCCCCAAAACACAGTGTATGAGGAGCAGCTTCAGCTGGAGCGGTGAGGCCCTGCCTGGCCCGAGCCTCTGGTAGTCCCTGGCAGGGGTGGGTAGCAGGGAGATGCGGTCTCGGGATCCCATTCCCTCTTTAAGGCCATCTCCAGCAGCAATGATGCCTGCAACAAAAGGTGGCATGAGGGACAGGAGGGACAGGTCCTGCTTGGCTCTCTCCCTGACGCGGTCTTGGTCCCCAGAAGCCATGTACCCAGCTCCTTGGCTCCCCCTCCAGCCTTCCCATTCACTGGTTTGCTCTCCCTCTCCCGTGGCCTGGCAGGGCCCTCCAGGAAAGCCTGCGGCTGTCCACAGAGTCCAGGGGTCCTGGATCTCCTCAGAGGACGCCCCCATCCCCTGTCCCTCCAAGCTTTGAGGAGCAGCTTCGACTGGCCCTGGAGTTGTCTTCGCGGGAGCAAGAGGAGCTGGAGCGGCGGGGGCAGCAGGAGGAGGAGGATTTACAGCGGATCCTGCGGCTGTCGCTCACTGAGCACTGAGCCGTCTGGCCCTGGGAGGGGGTCTGTCCCAAGACTCTCTCGCCTGCTTTTGTAATTTGTTTATTTATTTATAAACTGCTGCTGAGCTGGGGGCCTGGAGCCCTAGGAGTGGGCTGGCAGTGGGAACCAAGATGGAAATAAACGGTCAGCAACAGGTTTGCTGCACTCAGTGGCTGGAGCTGGGGAAGGGGTCACTGTGCAGAGGGCTCTGAGAGCAACCACGGATGATGATCTTAGACCTGATTAAGGGGACCATGGCCCCCTTAGCTTGTCTTTGAGTCTCCATCTCTGCATCTGTCAATTGAGAAGACCATCTCCTGGGAAGTTGCAAGGGGCTAACACACCTGCCAAGTGCCCTTACCCAGCAGGTGCTGCATGAACGATTCCCCTGAGCCCTACCCCACCTGGAGACCAGGTTCCTCCTCTCATCCAGCCCTGGTCTTCCTGAAACCTGGCCCTACTCTGGGGGTGGGGGGGCGGAAAGAGGAAAGGCTGGGCCTCTAGACCATACGGCCCTCACTCCCTACCCCGACTCTAGCGAGTGCCATCAGAGTGACTTTGAGCAAGTCACTTCCCTCTGCAGCTGTAAACCAGGCTTAACTCTGCCCCATTCGACCCCAAGTCGGAACTGACAAATTGCCTAGAGCTTCGTGGGCGATTTCTACAGTCCAACCGCATTTCTCTGCAAACTTGCGCCTCCCAAAATCCATGGCGTGAAGGCCAAGCAGAAAGAAGGGATATTGGGGTGGAATTCCTCGACTTAAGGCTCACCGTGCTTGATCCCCATCCCCTGCCTCCCTAGGACTTGGCCTAAAAGGGCTCAGGTGATCTAACTGGGCGGAGCACCGAGGTCCCTGGCAGGGGTGGGCCCAGGCAGGGGCCGGACCCAGGCAGGGGTAGGGGCAGGCCCAGGCAGGGGCAGGAGCGCTTCCTGGTAGGAACCACCCAACGCAGGAGTGAGTTAAGGTAGGGGCAATGCTACCTGCGCCCCACCTCCGGCCCCACCCCCACAGTGGATGGGGCGGGGCGAGGCGGGCCGCACTGAGGAGACCGGAGGGGAGGGAACCGCGGCGACTCAGTACCGGCTCTGCAAGCCCAGCTGGACTAGAGTCTGGCCCTTTAAGGGCCGCCCCTGAGGAGGTGCCAGGCCCTGGTGGCTCCAGTCTCTCCTTCCTGGTCCTGGCGGGGGGCAGGGACTATCCGTGAGGCTGTGAGAGGAGGTCGTGCCTGGGGCTCGCCCAGGTGTCCCGGGCCTGAGTCCATGGCCCTGGTGACAGTGAGCCGCTCGCCCCCGGCCAGCGGCCACTCCACGCCTGTGGGGCCCACGGTGAGTCTGGTTTGGTGCTGCCCACGCAGTTGGCTGCCAGCTGGCCTGGGGGCGTGCGTCCTGCCCGCAGCAGCCTCCTCCTACTCCAGGGGGTGGGCGGGGGAAACCTCGAGCCTCAGACTCGAAGGGGCTGGGGGTCCTGAGGCTCCCAGGAACCCCACCAAGCAAGATCCCGAGTCCTGAGCGCCAGCCCAGTTGCCGAGGCCCAGAGCCGGGCTATCCCTTCGCACACCTCGGCATTCCCCAGCCCACCCGCCCCGCTGTACTTGAACTTGGACTTCCACAGTACCTCCCCGCAGGGAGGGGCCTGGGAAGAGAATTGACATCTGACACCTTTTCTCTTGGCACCCCCAAGGAACGCAGGGTAACCCCCACACACACCCCCACTCTGAGAAGGGAGGGAAGGAGAGTCGCCCTGACCCTCACGCTCTCCTGGGGCTCCTTTCTCAGCAGGACCGGGCTGCAAGGCACAGAAGCCAGCTCCAGCGCAGGTGAGCATCTTTCCCTGGACACAGACGCCTCTATCCAGCCTGGGGCCATCCTGGACTCCAGGTGTCAGGGACAGAACTCTCCCTGGAGAATTTGCAGCCAAACTCTAGTGCTTATGTGCCTTGGCTCCAGGGCCTGATCGGCTTGGGACAGACGCATAGGGCTACCTTGGCTTCCATCTCCCTCCTTCAAGGAGAGTCATCTGGCACTCCTTTGCCATCCTTCACCCACTGCCCCAGTCTTTGGCTTGGGCTAGTGCCAAAGGGCAGGTTGAGGTGGCAGGACCTGACTCCTGGGTCCCCCACCAAGTTTACACCTCTCTCCACCGGGCAGGTGGGAAGGGAAAGGAGCAGCCCATCCCTGCTCCAGGTGAAGAGGGGCTCAAGGGCTGAGGCTGGTTCTCCAGGCTGGCGGCCGTCACCAGGGCCAGTCAGAAAGCTCTCGCACCTCCACTCCAGTCCTAAGGACTCTCTGGGGAGGGGGCCCACAATCCACTTCAAGAAGCTCTCCAGGAATTCGGACACCCCTGAAGTTTGAGAACCCTGGGGCCATAATGATCCCCACAACCCTGTCAGGCAGAGCTTTGCCGTGCTGCGTGGGGCTCTCCTGGGACTGCAGGACGGGAAGGACAGTGGTAATGCAGCCGAGGCCGGCTCTGAGCCAGCGGAGGAACCTCAGGATGAAGAGCAGCCTCTTGGGGACCAGACAGACAACGAGCAAGGGCCCCAGAAACAGGAGCAGAGGCAGCACTTGCACCTCATGGTGGAGTTGCTGAGGCCACAGGATGACATCCGCCTGGTGAGGGGCCATCCATAGCCCACATGGGGAGGGGGTGGAGCCCATGTGTCTGATGGGGGCACCCCGAGCAGTGGAGGAGTTACTGAGTCCTGAGGACCCTGCTATTTCAGCTACTGACATTTTAACAGGCCGAGGTCATGGCTGCCGGTCTCTGGAGGGCTGTGAAGGACTCGGAGGCTTGTCCTGCATGAATGCCAAATTAGGTCCATGAGGTGGGAGTCAGGGGAGGGAGACTTCCTGATGACATGAGTAACCCAGAAGTGCTCAGGGCGTCCTCCATGTCCAGGGAGGCTGAGAGCCAGCCCTCAAAGACTGCAAACACATCAGTAGCAAAATGTGAAAAACAAGATGCAGTCTTTTGTAAAGCTGGATTTCAAACAGGAGTTCAGGCCATGAGATTAGGCCCTTAAGAGTTCTTTTTGTATGTGGTGCTGGGAATTGAACCTATGGCCTCACGTAGGGTTTTTATAAAATCGCCTTTCTAGGCAAAACCAAAAACTGGGCCACCTGTCAGTCCCATTTCTCCCCCATTCTTTTTCTTTTTCTTTTTTTTTTTTTTTTTGGTACTAGGGATTGAACCTGGGGGCACTTTACAACTGAGCCACATCCCCAGCCCCTTGTTTTAAAATTTTGAAATAGGGTCTTGCTAAGTTGCTTACAGCCTCATTAAATTATTGATGCTGGCCTCAAACTTGTGATCCTCATGCCTCAGCCTCCCAAGTTGCTGGGATTACACATACCTGGCCCCTTCCCCCTTTTTATCCCCACATAGTCTCCTTTCAAGAAAAAACCTTTTGAGGCTGGGGTTGTGGCTCAGAGGAAGAGTGCAAACCTTTTAAACATTTCAGTGGACTGTGAAATCCACAAGTTGGGAACCACTCTGGATCCTAGGCACTGGTCTTAAACCTGGGAACTGGGGGTGGGAGTGGGAGACACAGGGTCCAGCAGGGCTGTTCTGGATTGGGGTATATCCAAATGGGGTAGCAGAGTAGGGTCCCCAAGGACACTGTGATTTGGGACTTCTCCCATCTTCCCCAGGCAGCCCAGCTGGAGGCAGCCCGGCCTCTGCGACTCCGCTATCTGCTGGTGGTTTCCACAAGAGAATGCCTGAGCCAGGAGGAGACAGTCCTCCTGGGGGTGGACTTCCCTGACAGCAGGTGGGAGCAGGGAGAGGAAGGGATGGGCCAAAGAGGTGAGGTGCTAGGGACTATGGATCTCTCTCTCTCTGTCCCTGCCAGCTCCCCCTGCTGCACCCTAGGTCTGGTCTTGCCCCTCTGGAGTGACACCCAGGTGTACCTAGATGGAGATGGGTAAGCCATGGCAACTGGAGAGGCGGGTGGGGAGAGACTAGGGCAATAGCAGACCTGGATTGAGGTCTGGGGCCTACTCTTACCTCTACCTCAAATTCACTGTGTGATCCTGGGCAAGTCACCTAATTTCTCTGGGCCTCAGACTCCCACATCTGACAAATGGGTAGGTTCTCTGTCTGAGTTGGAGTTTGACTCCACCCTCACCTCATCTCCTCAGTGGCTTCAGTGTGACATCCGGTGGGCAGAGCCGAATCTTCAAGCCCATCTCCATCCAGACCATGTGGTAAGTGTTGCAGTGGCTGAGCCCCAGGGCGGCCTCTTATCCTTGGGAGATGGCTGCAGGGAAGGCAGTGTGACCCAGACTCTTCTCCTGTCCCAGGGCCACGCTCCAGGTGTTGCACCAGGCATGTGAGGTGGCTCTGGGCAGTGGCCTCATACCCGGCGGCAGTGCCCTCGCCTGGGCTGCCCACTACCAGGAGAGACTGAACTCTGACCAGAGCTGCCTCAACGAGTGGATGGCTATGGCTGACCTGGAGTCCCTGCGACCTCCCAGCGTAGAGCCTGGCCAGTCAGTGCAGGGAGGAGGGCCAGGGGGAAGGGCAGGAAGGAAAAGGTGGAGGGCCCTCTAACTGAGGGGTTCTGCTCCCAGGCCCTCAGAGCAGGAGCAGATGGAGCAGGCGATCCGGGCTGAGCTGTGGGAGGTGCTGGACACCAGTGACCTGGAGAGCATCACTTCCAAAGAGGTGGGCAGGGTGGGTGGGGCCCGGGGCTTGCCTCTCCCTGGAGCCCTTCCCACCTGCTGCCCTCCAGTTCTGAACCGTCCCCTCCCCCATACCCTGGCCTCAACCCAGTCATGGTCTCAGCTGTCTAGATGGGAAGGGTACTGTCCTCAGAGGCCCCAGATGGGGGGAGGGGGCGTGTGTCAGGAAGTTCTCCTCCTCTGGGTGCTGCCCACAGATCCGCCAGGCCCTGGAGCTGCGCCTAGGACGCCCTCTCCAGCAGTACCGGGACTTCATTGATAACCAGATGCTGCTGCTCATGGCCCAGCAAGACAGGGCTTCCCGCATCTTCCCCCACCTCTACCTGGTGAGCAAAGGCTGCAGGGGTGGGCTACGAGACCCCAGTGGCTGCTGCTCAGAGGCACAGACAGGCAAGGGAGCCTGGTGCTTCTCTCCACTCCACAGGGCTCTGAGTGGAACGCGGCCAACCTGGAGGAGCTACAGAGAAACAGGTGGGCTCCGGTCCTCTCAGGACCCCTTCTCTCGGCATCCGCTTAGGGAATGGCCGAGCCAGCTGTAGAAACCCGTGACCACTCTTCGCACCCGCTGGCTCTGCTTCCAGCCCCACCCGACGCTGTTGCCCTTGCATGGGCTCTCGGGATGGATGGCAATCTTACTGCCCCACTGGCCAGCTACTGGCCCCTATCTGTAGAACCATGCCAAGAGGAGGGCAGCGGCCTGCACTGCCATGGACCACCTTTTCCAAGCAGGAAATGGCTTCTGCACACCTGCCCATGTCTTCAGAGAGAAGGAAATCCCTCCTTTCCAGTGGGGACCTGATTGCCTGCTCTGTGCACGGGTTTCTGGGAGACCTGCTAAAGTCCCTGTCACTTGCTGCTGCAGAGCTACCCAATCTCAACTTAGTTCAAAAGATGGGCTCTAAATTCCGAGAGTAATGGAAGGGTTACTGCTGTAGTGACCTCAGCCACCTGGACCAGCTGGGGAAACTCGAGGCCAACAAGGTAGAACGATGTGCTCGTGGTCAGTCATCTGCCAGCAGGTTCAGCTCTCTTCCCACCAGGAGCGCTGCACCACCTGACTTTCAGAGCCCAGAACTAAACAAGAAACACCCAAGGTCTGCTGGGTCTGGTGGCCAGTGGGCCTGGTGCCTGGTGTCCATGTCAGCCTGGCCTTGGGCCCTTTGGTACAGGGTCAGCCACATCTTGAACATGGCCCGAGAGATTGACAACTTCTACCCTGAGCGCTTCACCTACCACAATGTGCGCCTCTGGGATGAGGAGTCAGCGCAGCTGCTGCCCCACTGGAAAGAGACACACCGCTTCATTGAGGCTGCGAGGTCAGTTCTTCCTGGCTCCAGCGGCCCAGTCCCAGTCTCACTAGCTGGCCCCGGCTTCTGGCAGACCCAGTGTCTTCCTCCTGCCCATTCTGCCCTCAGCTCTGTGTCCTACTCCAGCCCCATTTCTGCTGGGTCAGAAGCCCCTACCTGCCCCTCTCCCCACGCTGCAGGGCCCCTCAGGTGAGGAAGGGCTGGGGACTAACCATATCCCCCCCTCTTCAGAGCACAGGGCACCCGGGTGCTGGTCCACTGCAAGATGGGTGTCAGCCGCTCGGCCGCCACGGTGCTGGCCTACGCCATGAAGCAGTACGGCTGGAGCCTGGAGCAGGCTCTGCTCCACGTGCAGGAGCTCCGGCCCATTGTCCGGCCCAACCCTGGCTTTCTGCGCCAACTACAGACCTACCAGGGTATCCTGACTGCCAGGTATAGACGGAGGACAGGAGGGATGGTGTGGATGCTGGGAATGGCTGCTGGGCCACTCAAGGCTGACTCAAGGCCACCTCCTCACAGCCGGCAGAGCCACGTCTGGGAACAGAAAGTGGGTGGGGGCTCCCCAGAGGAGCCCTCGGCCCCCGAAGTCTCTACACCATTCCCACCTCTTCCACCAGAACCAGGGGGCAGTGGGGTAGTTAAAGCTATGGGCTTGGAGGAAAGCCAGGCAGCCCCAAAAGAAGAGCCAGGGCTGCGGCCGCGCATCAACCTCCGCGGGGTCATGCGGTCCATCAGTCTTCTGGAGCCCTCCACAGAGTTGGAGGGTGCCTCCGAGGCCAGTGACCTCCCAGAGGTGAGGCTGGGTTGGGGTTCCATCTGTAGTGGTGGGGGCCATGAGGAGGAGGAGGGATGGGGGAAGACCAGCACTAGTTCTTGGCTTTAGGCCCTGAGCAGGGGGATCTCGGGTGCCTGGTCCTTGCTTACTCTAGTTTGTCCACCTAGTACCTCTCACCACCAGAGAAGTCTATCCCCCAAGCTCCCCAAGGATGGGTACCACATCCTGGGCATCTCCCTTCCCCCTTCTGAGCAGTTGAGGAGACTTAGTGAGGGCAGGTGAGGTCTTGGGAGCTGCAGAACAATCAAGAAGCAGGGCCAAGCCAGCCCATTCCAGGTCATGCAGCCTGACAAATGGACCTGCTTTCTAAGGGGCTTGGCTTCCAGCTGTGGAATGAGCATCTTCCTCAGCCCCTGAGTGTCACAGCCAGCTTTTGGTCCTGGAGACATATCTTGCTTGCCCTAGGTGGGATGGGTAATATGGTCTCCCAAACCCGAGGAGCCCTGCGATGGAGGATGGGGTGGAGAGGGCTTTAGCAGTCACAGGGCCCAATTATGACTGAGTGAGGAAGAACCCTGTGTGCTAAGTGCTTTAGGGCACTAAGCTAGGACTGGAAGCTGATCCTTGCCTGAGGAAATCAGGCCCAACAGTGACTCAAGGTCAGATGGTTGACCCAGAGGAAAGAGAGTCTGTGGAGTGCAGGAGCATTTGCATGGACCAATAGGGAAGCACTGAGGTTGACGGATGGGTGTGGGCATTGCCGAAGGCTGGCATTCTCACCAGGAACCCAGACCCATGTGTCTACACAGCCTAGTTTGGGGCCTGGCACCGAGTTCCTTCTGTGGCCCACTAGGCCGACTATACAAAGAGAGGTGGGAGGAGAGGCTGGTGAACCCCGGTGGTGGGTGCAGGGCAGTGAGGAGAGAGCTTCTAGGAGCCAGAAGAAAGCTGCAATTAGGTGAGGGCAAGGACCTGAGAATAGCTCGGTTTCTCTGTATTCACTTGACAAACATCCTGCACCTACCTTTTTCCTGGCTCTGGCCTCCCAATGGCTCTTCCTATCCTTCACCCTTCCAGGTTTTTTCCTCCCATGAGTCTTCAGATGAAGAGCCTCTGGGGCGCTCCCCTCAGCTCTCAAGGGCTAAGGGAGGCCGGCAGGCCCAAAAGGGGTCTTGGCCTGCCCTGAAGTCTCGCCAGTCTGTGGTTGCCCTCCAGAGCGCTGCCCTCGTAGCCAGCCGGACGCGGGCCTTCCAGGAGCAGGAGCAGGAGCAGGGGCCGAAGGTTGGAATATCCTCCACACCTAGGCTTCGGAAGGTGGTGAGGCAGGCCAGTGTGGACGAAAGCAGAGCGGAGGGCGAGGCCTGACCTCACACGCCTTCTCCCCTTAGGCTTTAAACAGAGAAACTGATCCACTGCCCTCAGCAAGCACCCCTCACACCTGCGGCCCGCACACACTCCCTTGAGCTCCTCCTGGCAGGACCACCCAGACCCTGTCACTACAGCACCTCCTACAGCCTTAAATCTCAAACCACCTGTCAAGGGCTCAAAACTTTCTTTTTTCTTTTTTTTGGTATCGGGATTGAACTCAGGGGCACTCGACCACTGAGCCACATCCCCAGCCCTGTTTTGAATTTTATTTAGAGACAGGGTCTTCCAGAGTTGCCTAGCGCTTCGCCATTGCTGAGGTTGGCTTTGAACTTGTGATCCTCCTGCCTCAGCCTCTCGAGCCACTGGGATTACAGGTTGCACCACCGAGCCCGGCAAGAGCTCAAAACTTTCTACTGGGGTGTGGGTAGAGTGAATGAAGGTGCCTTGGGGAGGGCACCCTAGTTTCATTCTCAACGCTCCCTAAAATATTCACTTGCAGTCACGGAATCAAAAAGAGAGCTTTTAGGGCAAATTTTCTGGCTCAGGCCCCATCTCAACTCCTGTACATCCCATCCTGGTCCTTCCACCCTCACCCACTGTCATGGAACCAGTGGTCCCCAAAGGCAGAAAGGACCCTCAATCCCCAGCCCCAGAGGCTCTGAGGGAGCTGGCAGGTCAACTTCACACACTTCACAACTGGCCTGCTGCTGCCCCCAGTCCTCCCATGGCCCTCAGTGGTTCTTGGGGGATCAGGCCAAAGACCCGCCTTCTGTCCTTTGTGGCCTCTGGCCAGTTTTTCAGTCTTATAGTATCTGACTTTGTACTGAGAAATAAAAAAAAATTTTTCACATTGTGATTTTACATTTGATGATAAAGCCATCTGTCTTTCACTCAGATCCTTCTCTGTTTCTAAAAGGAGGTGGTTGGCCTCTCCTACTCCTTCCAGTTTTGTCACTGTTCCCAGGTGTCCTGTGACAGCTCAGTTTGGGCAAGTGGTATATTTGGGGGTGGAGTGGGAGTTAAAATGGAGAGGAGGGATGACAAGTGCTATTTCCCTCCTCTCTAGGGCAGGGCCTGGGTAAATGTTGGCCATGCAGGCTCCCTCACGGGAGAACAAGTCTACACGGGGAGCAGGCATTTGGCTCTGTTGGGACAGCTGAAGGGAATTATATATGAAGAAATGGAAGATGCTACTGCCTATTTGGGCAAGACCAACCTATTCCAAAAGCTAAAACTCCTTTTGGACACTTGATGCCAGTTCTTGAGCATATTTATGGTTCCAAGAATCACCCTTATGGGACTGGGGTTGTAGCTCAATGGCAGAACGCTTGCCTAGCGCATGTGAGGCACCGGGTTCCATCCTTAGCACCACATAAAAATAAATAAGCCAGGCACAGTGATGCATGCCTGTAATCCCAGCATCTCAGGAGGTGAGGCAGGAGGATCTCAAGTTCAAAGCCAGCCTCAGCAAAAGCGAGATGCTAAGCAACTCAGTGAGACTGTGTCTCTAAATAAAATACAAAACAGGGCTGGGGATGTGGCTCAGTGGTCAAGTGTCCCTGAATTCAATCCCTGGTACCAAAAATAAATAAATAAATAATAAAACAAACAAACGAAAGAATCACCTTTCTCCTACAATGAAAAAGAGCCTGATTTTCCAAGCCAACTAATAAATGCCAGAGAAGGATGTTTGGTGACCCTACTCCTTCTGCCTAGAGGTTCTTTTACTGTTTAAGAAGAGTCAATGCTTCCATCTTGGTCATTTTTGTCTCTTCCCAAGATCATTCTCTCAGGTGCCCCACGATATACTACACTGTTGGGGGAAGGAGGTAGTACTCAATTCCTTTGTTCAAACCAGGGCTCAGAGATAGGAGCTGGCAATGAACGTCATCACACTCATTGAGACCATGTACCAAGCTTTACAAATGAATCTCCCAGCCCCTGGGGGATGCCCAGACTACTCTAACCCTAAAGCACTGTGGGGCAGGAGACTTGGACTCCAGCTCTGGCTTCACAATTCCAAGTTATTTCACCTTAAGTCTCTGCTTCTTTCTGTAAAACAAAGGGATTAGACTTCTAGCTCTAAGAACCCCTCCCCACTAGATTTTTGTTAACAATGAATGCCATTTACCCATAGCTAGAATTCAGTCTCTGTGTGCTCTACAGAAGAGGAATCATTTGCACCTGTCTGGGTGGCATGCCTCAGGTCACAAGGTGGATAAGCTAGTTTCCATTCATGATCCATCTGGCTGAGCAAACACTGGGGCTGCCCACCTTCCTGCACTCAACCAGTAGTATCACCAGATTGCTCTTTCAGTAGTCTTAGCCTGGGGTTGCAGATGGGTAGCGCTACAGTGTCAGGACAAAAGCCAATGCCAGGCTCAGCCTTCTGCAACCTGGGCACATCAAAAAGTGGGGTTCAATGAACTGCCCAGTGCCCCCAACATACACTGGAATCCGAGACTCTTAAGTAAAATTTGGCATTTGGGAAACAGACTGGAGGGGAAACTATTTGCACTAAAATACAAATAATTAAGAACAATATGCATATATAAAGCTCACACAAATTGCTAAGAAAAAGAAGAAGGAAAAAATAGTTAAGAAGGATATAAAATGTAAAGGCTCTGACCATGTCCTCTGGTCCCTCACTTCTATCTCTATAGGCAACAGCTGTTACAGCTTCTGAGGCCCTCTGAAGACAATCCATGCTTATGCCATCAAATACATGAGTATGTATATTCTTTTAAAACAAGACAGCATACTAACATACTATTTTGCACTTAGAATTTTTTTTTTTTTTTTGTATTACAAGTTCCACGCTGGCACATAAAGATTTGCCTCATTTTAAAAATCACCACAAATATTCCATTTTATGGAATTCATCATTTATTTAGGCGGTTATTTATGGATGAACACTTTTTTAATCCCATTTCAAGCAATGTCTCATTAATCACTCCTGTATATACATCTTTCCACATACTTAGCCACTAAATCTGTAGTATGGATTTCTAGAATTGCTAAAGCAAAGGTTATGCACATTTTAAATTTTGTGAGTCATCATTTAATATCTTTCCAAGAAGTTGCACCAATTTATAGTGAATGGGAAAGTCTGTTTATGTCCTTAGAGAGCCGTGCAGCCTACACAGCCATGTCATCACCACGCAACAATCCCAGAGGAAAAAACGGAGGGCCTTATAACACCGTTTCTGGACTTAGAGGAGTTAAACACTGAATCAAAAACGGAGCCTGAATCAGATCCAGGTTTCTAGATTCTCATCCCAGGACCTAACTCTGGAGTGGAGGCTGGACAGTCAACTCACCGACTCACAGTTCTGCCCAAGGACCACCCTAGGGCGGCCAGTGCTGGGGTACTACCTGATGCCCAGCCCCAAGAGCCCCGCGGCAACGAGGAGCTGGGGTGCCTGGACAGCCGGTCCATCCTGGGCCAGCTCCACCTTCAAAACCTTCTCCGTCAGTCCAGCCCTGCCAGGCCCTGGGCTGGGGCGGGACGTTCGACGCGGCCGCTCCTCCACCCAGCACCAGGGGAGCCCCATCTTCAAACTGCAAAATCAAAGGCGTTCAGGAGACCGTGCGTCCTCCCCTTTACCCCGCACCCTAGACTCCTCAGAGCCCGACCGCGCGAGAAACTACCTTCAAGGCCTGTCCCGCGGCGGCCGCGGCCGGGGTCAGTCCTGGGAGCCAGGCTCAACAGAACCGCAACGCTCGGGCGCCACCTTGCGTCCATTCCTCCGATCCCGGGGCGGCCGTGGAAACCACATTTCCCAGCGTGCCTAGCGCTCCCGCGCAGGCGCAAAAAGCGTCTTATAGTTTCCATGGGAACCTCGTCCCTGGAGTCCGGGCCGCGCAAGTCTGAGTTGGGGTAGGGTGTTGCTCCTGCGAAGGTGCACCGGAGCTAGGACCGGTCTGCAGACCATTGATGGGCATAGTGGGGCGCTTGAGGGAGCGAGGCCAGTCCTGCCCTGCTTTCCGGAACCATCCCTCCCGTATTCGTCCGGGCGTCCTGGCGTCCGCGGGCTCCTGGGGCCTCTGCGTTCTGAGGTGCAGGGGCCTGGGTCGGTCCGCGTCGGGCTTGGCTCGCGCCGGCGCAGCGCAACTGCCCCAGCGCCAGGGCTGGTCACCTCCTTCCGAGGGCCTGCGCGCCGACGGCAGGTACTACTGAAGCGCGGGCCCGGGCGCGGGCGGCCGGCGGGGGTGGCTCGCGCCGCGTGAGCACGTGGAGGTAGCGTCCGGCAGGCGTCCAAGGCGCCTGGGGCTGGAACCCTCTCTGTGGTGGGTGGTCGCGGGACTCCCAGCCCCTCTGGGTTTCAGTGCCACTCCCGCGTTACCCGCCTCCCGGCAGGTAAAATTGGACTTGGACCGAAATCCTCAGATCCATTGCGATGCTCTCGCAGAGCAGCCCCTGGCGCCGTGTGGCCCAGAGGAAAGAAAACTCCTTTATCTTGCCGAGCCCAGGTTCACCTCTCTGTAAAATAAGGGCTTGAAACAGATGAACCCCAGGGTGTCTTCTAGTGGGCGATACTTTACCCCATGGTGGGTTCATTGCTCCTCACTGAGCACCATGTGCAAGAAGAAAGGGAACTAGGTTGGTTTGAGAAAGAATCTCACCTTGGGACGCGGAGTCAGAGAAACTTGTGCTTGGTTGCTGTTACACCTCTTGAGACTCATGAGGACATGTGTGTAACAGGGGATCATGACAGTAGCACCTCTGGTTCTGAAGGATTAAACTAGATAATGCACATGCCTTTTTTTTTTTTTTTTAATCCAGCATTTGCAGATAGTAAGCATTATCCCAAGTCTCGGATTTCTAATATTCTTAAAGCATCCACTAGCTCTTTTCCTAATTTCTTAAGTCGTTTTCTTATTTCTGGGCAAATCCATTCTTCTAGGCAGGGATGGTTTTATGGGCTGATTCTGGTGGGGGAAGCTAGAGTCTTCTTTACCCACGTTTGGGCCAGTGTATCTGCTCCTTCAGTGGTAGTCTAGTTTTTATCATTACCACACCACATAGTATCTAGGGAGGACACAAGGCCCAACAACACATAGTGGGGAAGATTGTTTCCTTCCTTAAGATTTGTAGAGCATGTGAGCACTTACATGTTATGAAGCAAACTATTTCCTGGGCACTTTTTGAGCACTTATTATGTACCTGGCACTATTCAGGGGGTACTCTGAGGGATACAATGATGTATAAGAAAATCTTTGCCC